TTCCAGAGCCGTTAGACTGAATGAGTTATGGATTGAGTCTCATTTCAATTTCAGCGGAGTCTAGTAAAGTTTGTGAGTAAAGACCCAGTGCTGATGGTGTCCCTGAGAGCAACGCTGCTGTCAGTCACACTCTGTAATGCTGCCCTTAAAAGCTCCTCCTCAATTGCCACATCTGGTTGGGTGAGGGGGAATCACCCAAAACTTAAAATGGACTCCTTCAAACCCCTACAGAACTCATTAATGAAATGGAGCATCCTTCATGAGCCCGTATTTCTTACTTAAACAAGTAAACAATTCTTCCTAGATGTCTGACTAATGCTTATAGAGAAATAGGAAAGGTCTTACTTCATAGTGACTAAAAGAGAACCTTTGTTTTAAAGCAAGGGAACTTCATAGACTGTAGGAAATAATTACCACTGTGCAAATACTTGTCTCCAGGAAGGCAGTTTAGATACTTATGATTCTAAAAGTGGATAGCCAATTAATTCTCTAGGAAGCCCCTTCTTGTATAAAGAGGCACATATACTGTAGTAAATACATCCCTCTCTCTATGGAATATCTCTACAGTTATATATAAAAATATACATTTTTACATATAAAGTACTGGTACACATCATATATATATCACAACACAGGAATATATATGTAACCTATGTGTTTCCTTCTGGGGAGGAATTCAAGCTCCATAGCAGAGGAGACCAAGTATAATTTATCAAAGGCAAGCATGATAATGACCCCCAATGGACAAGGCATCTAGAGCTATAGTGGTAATTACTCCAATCTAATCAGTGTCCTTCAAAGTCCTGAGAAAGGCCTTCAAGAGAAACACACTGTTGTCAAGGTCTTATTTTCAAATGTAAAAATAAGACAGCATCAGAAGCTGGCCAGAGGCTGAGGGTGGGTGGCTGTGTGGAGGGTGGGCTCCAGGTACTCTCTGGCTCCAGGCTACTCTGCAGACCATGTTGGGCATGAGCGAATTGGGGCATGATGTCACTGCTCCATGCAACATGTATACCAAAAGGAAAATGAAATTGAAACTGTACAGAAAATGAAAGAAGTATCTCATCTAGAGAAAGACAGGGCAACTAGACTCCAGGCTGGTGGGAACCCGTTTTACTCACAATAGATCACTACCAGTGTGCAGTTTAAATAGAGTAGGGGGGCCGTATCCCAAGGCAGCAAAGAGAAAAAACATAAATCAAAGATATGTCAATGATCAGAAATTAAAGAAAATTTCTTCAAACACATCAATCTAGATAGGACTTGTCCCCTAGGAGACTACCCTTTGGCAAATTTTCAGAGGCTAGGAGGGAAAATGTAAATCATTAGACCAGGTTTGTTACACACACAAAAAAAGAAAATGGGTAAATGGTTGAGTCTGAGAGCTTGCTCCTTGGACAGGTAGCTGGACTGGACTCATGTTCTGGATGAAGAGCTATGAAGAAATGGAAAGAAATACAAAAGTTAAACTGGACCACCACCACAGACTTTCCAGAAATGGAATGTCCAAACTCCATATTTTTCTGGGTAATATGACACGAAACATTGAAGGTTACTGAATGAAAGGGAATGGGAAGGAAAGGGCAGAGCTGGAAGGGGAAGAGTTGGGTTGGGGGAGGAGGGATTGAAGCTGTGGACAAAGGAAGCTGTGGAAGGAGGGTTAGGAAGCTAGCGACTATCATTAGCTCTGCCCTCATGGACACATACTATTTTGGGGTGAATTATTAACATTTGGACTAACAGATTTGGACAAGTGACTTGGTGGGTTAAATGCCCTCTCCAACTTAGGGTACCAGTCAATGCCTACCCCAAAGTATGGGATTCCCCCAGTGTGTTACCAATGTCCCTAGCTCTTTCTAATGAAAACTTCTTTTCAACCAAAACATATTTTCTCCAGTCCCCTCACTTTTCTGACTTAACATGGAAAGGTTGCTAGTCAATAATTTCATTTTATTCTAACCCCCTCCCATACACACACATTGACATCCTGCCCTCTAGGCTAATTAGGAAGAACAGCATTTGGACAACTCTGATTGTTCTATCAAATATTAACCTCATAGCCGAGGGCCTTGTCACACTGGCTTGGCTTGGTCAAGGCAGGCTTTATATAGCAATGTGTGCCCTTGCATGATGGGAGATCATACGTTTTATTAGTTCAACCAACTTTAAGAGAATAAAGTTCTTTTAAACAATGACATACCTCTCCCCCAGGATGAAGCTAAAGTTCAGTGCTATTTGCTTGCCTGGAATCAAGATGGAAAAAATATCCTGGAGGTCAAATCCTTATTTGCAAGGATTTTTAAAATGGTCTGCTATGATCCACTAGTGTCCTAGGAGGGACATTTAGTTTTGCAACAAGAATCAATGAAGCTCTCTCTCTCTCTAGCCTTCTACTTCTTCCCTTCTGACCAAGACACCAAAGAGATCTTTTCAACTGAGAAGTGATGATGTGGTTTTCTTGCTTGAACTCTTCCAACAGCTTCCTGGTATAGAACTAAGACCCAGCTTCTTACCACCACCTGGCCTTCCTCTCTAATCTTGGGTAAGTACCACTCTTTCCCCAGTGCCATCAACCCCACCAGCTGCTCTGTCATCCCTCGGGCACTTTTGTCCTATTCCCTCACTCTTCTCCCTACTTGGCCTTGGGGCTCAGCTTCAATGTAACCTCCCAGTGGAGACCTTTCTGACCTTCCAAACTGGGAAACAGCAGCATTCCAACTAGGCACCTCATATTCTCAGACAGGCTTGCCTCTCTTCTCTGCACTTGGCTCTGAGCTTATTTAACTATTGGTGTGATGATGGTTTGTGTCCTGTCGCTAGCAGGAATGTCTCAGGAGGGCGATATGATATACATATCCTTCTCCACTCAATTCTTGGCACCAAGAATGGCACCTTGCCCCAAAAGGGCACTCAAAAATATGTGAAAGCTCACTCAACAGTTCGCTGTGTGTAGTCTTGCCATTTCATTGATACCCCTGTGGGACAAGGGTCTCTGGAAAATAAATACCCTTTCATGGACTGTTATCCTCAATACTCTTCCACCTTTTCCAAACCCCTCACTGCAAGAGCATCCTTACAGAAGAGTTTGCCCTCTTGTATTTATTATTTTCTGTTTACCTCTACCCTCAGGATGTCCTGTACCTTCTGATGGAAACAACCCAGGTGATGCCTGGCCAAATGAGCTTCTGTATTCATAATTAGCCAAGCAGGGCTAGGTTGACTGCCTCATGGGAAGGGTGTCTGGAGTCATGGAGCCTGGGTGAGATTAGACGTGGAGTGAACTTGCTTCTGAGCCTCTCAGATGCTCTCTCTGGGAGAGTGTCAGAATGGGAGAAATTCATAGGTTCCAAGAAGTCAGAGGCTCTTGCTATAAGATATCAATAAATACACATCTTGGTTAGGTGACAGCGTTAGGAGGAGGGGGTGCTGAATATATTAAATCAATGGAGAAGGGAGCAAGATGGTAGGACTTAGCTAGTTTGGGAGCGAGTCTGAAAGGATTTCCACAGAAAGTTCTCCAGACCAAGAGCTGCCCTATGGGTACTGGCCCAAGGGATTGATTAACTTATTTGGGCTCCTGTGGAACTATATTTTTATCTTTCTGGTTGTGCAGGTGCTCCTTCAAGAGCACAGGGGGGAAAGGCCCTGTTTCAGTTGGGATAATCCAGGGGTGGTACTCTGCTGTCTCGTGTGCATGTGAAAAAGTATTTTATAGTGTGATCTTTTATGACAGTGTTTGTACTCATCAAACCCGAGGTCACCTATCTGGCCATTCCATCCTGCAATAAAGATTAAGGCACTCAGAGAACAGCATCAAGAAAGGCCTCTGGGGACCTGAATCCCTGCACACTGGCTGTATGACTGCCAGCAATCTCATCCTCTCACTAAACTTGGAAGCCTCCACGCCTCTTTCTGTAAAATGGGATTAATAAAACCCCCTGCCAATTACACAGGGTTATAGTGAGGATCAAAGCTGCCATCACAAGGAGTTCTTCAAACACTGAAGGAAAGGGAGGCATCATTATTTTTCTTTCTCCAGGGTTGACAGCAATTTCTACTAGACAATGCAGCATTGATGCTGCAAAAGACATGGTCTTCGCAAGGTCAAAACTATAACTCCTGGTCTCTGGGAAGCTCCAAGCCAGTGTCTCTGATTCACCACTGAGGCCCCAGCTACTCTAGAAGAGGCATGTTACAGGCTAGGCCAGAAGCTACTCAGCCCAATCCATCTACACCAAGGCTGGTCTTTGGGACAATGGTGATCAAGGTCCTCGGCTAGAGCCATGTTCTTTTCTTAGAGTGGTCTGAGGGAGTCACAATGAAAAACTCTGACCTTTGGTACTAAAGCCCACAGGAATTCCAAACGGAAAGAGAGTCAATTCCCATTTCGGAAACTGAGCTCTCAGATTCAGTTTCCCTCTCAGCCCTAGCACAGTCATCTTTACGTAGTGGTTTCCTGTCCACTGGAAATCACTACACAAAAACACTCCATCTAGTACAATCTTAGTGTCCTACTTCCTTTCTTTTCCTTTCTTTCTTTTTTTGGTCCTGGGGATTGAACTGTACACCCTTATCTCTTCTTCATTATTTTAATTTTGAGACAGGGCCTTGCTAAATTGCTCAGTCTGGCCTTGAGCTTGCAATCCTCCTGCCTCAGCCTCCTGGGTAGCTGGGATTATAGGCATGCACTACAGCAGCTGGCTGGGTGTCCCACTTTTTCACATCATACTTGACACTATTAGACTGGACATATCCTCTGGAGTCAAGAAATGGAGACTGGGTACCAAGTTTACCCCTAGGTATTATTGGTGGTGATTTTTCGTCCTCCAACAAAGCAAGGATGGCTATTTCATATTTCTTTGAAATTGTGGTGTGAAACATAAACATATTCAAGAGAACTCTTGATGTTTAATGTTTCTCTCATAGGGAAAGGGGAAGGAAAATGAATTTGGGGGACTAGGAAGGAGGGGGGCGGGGAGGGGGAAAAAAACACTACTTACGCCGTTTGCAGCCGCATTTTTTAATTCTTTTGGGATCTGTGATGTCATCATGACAGGCCTTGCAGTAAAAAAATGCCCTGGAGAAAGAGAATGGAAAAACTGACACATTTCATAATCCAACCAAATGAAATGAGTACCACATTTCCTCCGCGGTGGTGCCAAATTAATGAAACATGCCAGCACTAATTTCCTTTAATCTTTTGAAAAGTTTAGACATTTGCAGACAGAAATGTTTGTTGCAAGACCATTTATTTCAAACACGGGATTCTGTGATTTGAGTTAGTGCTTCTTTTCATAAACCTGCATTTGCAGAGGAACTGGGAGAAGGGTTGCTGATGAGACACACCGCATCTGCTTGCTTGTCTTTCATTTTGGAGAACAGCACTCGATGCTCTTTGTCGGGACACGTGAACCATCAGCCCTGAATCCTGGGTGGGGAAGCTACACAACTCCCAAGCCCCACAGTCTACTCAAATGTACATTAAAGGAGGACAAGCAAGGTGCTCCACTGTCAAATGCAAACATTAACCTTGTCACTTTGAAAGCACCTTTTCTTGTTAGCCTGAGTGAGAGAGGGTTGAGAGGAGGTAGGAGAAGGAACAACAAAGGCAAGAAGTCTAGCAGTTTCTCTGTCAAACTCCCTCTGGGATTTCATAGCTCATTTCACTGCATGGCTGGCGGGACCCACCCCTGCTATATACAGCCCTGAGAACATGTAATAAGTGAAGGTTTTCTTCTTACTATGGAGCAAAGCTCAGCTGACCACAGCTGAGCAAAGGAATGAGGTGGGTAGAAGGAACCCTAGAAGAAGCCATAGAAAGAAAATCCCCTAATCAGATTTGGGTGTCAATATGGGATTACAAAGTGCATTGGCTTGTGTCAAAGATACTTTGGGGGCTGGGGCTGGGGCCTAGTGGTAGAGTGCTCACCTAGCATGTGTGAGGCACTGGGTTCAAACCTCAGCACCACATAAAAATGAAATAAAGATATTGTGTCCACCTACAACTAAAAAATAAATATTAAAAAAAAGATACTTTGGTAGAAATAAGACCATTATAGCACAGTTTAAGATCACAGGGTTAGAAGAACAGTGTGGGTGGAGGGTATGGATGGTCCCCAGTTTAGGATGAGCAAAAGTGAACCCGTACAACCTGCTGTCCACTTAGTACACAAGATACTAACCTTTTTAAAAATATATAAAATAGGCTTTGTTGTTTGCTGGTTTTGTACAGCCGAGGTCCAATGTAAATGTTTTGAGCACAGTAGACTAAGTTAAGCTAGAGCAGGTGTGTCAAATGCATTTTTGACCATGATATTTTCAATTTATGATGGTTTACTGGGATTTAGTCCATCATAAGTAGAGAAGCATCCAAACTGGGGAGGTGATAAAATTCACTGGAACAACCTTACAACCTTATGGATCCAAGAACTAATAAAATCCCTGGCTTAGCACCTTTACCACTCCCAACATGAACTTGAATTCCAGGGATAAACATGGTCTTTTCCTGACTGGGCTAAAGAAATAAACACAATTCTTGACTATTTGATTCCGAGATTCCTTTTTTTTTTTTTTTTATGTTTTTCACAGGACTTGCATTTACGACTGGCACTGGCTAGAAACCAATGTTAAGACTTTTGGAACTGGAAGGGATTGTGGGGATTTGAGCCAAATCTCTAGGACTCAATGTCCCCATCTGAAAACTGAGGAGGTTGTCATGACCTGCCCAAAGTCATCTGATGGTGGAGCTTGGCTGGCCCTGGGACTTCTGCATCCAAGTCCAACGCCCCTTCTACACAAGAAGCTCTTCCACTATTTCTTTAAATGCCAGCTGTCATCCACTTTACAAGAAAAGGAAAGTTAGCTGCATTTACGACTGGCACAGCACTGTGGTTAATGACCCAGTGGACAGGGATCTGCCTTAAACAGGAAGGACAGGAAACAATCCATGTTGGGACAAGTAACTTTGCATCCACTTTCTTTAGACATTTTCTCCCCCATCCCCCTACTGGATTCTTCTACAGGCAATAGTAATAATGACACTTATAAAATGCAGACTATAGGCCACGGGTTGTTCGAACATTTTATAAGCAATAACATATTTGATCCTCAAACAACCCTTTGAAAGAGGTATGATTATTACTTTTCTTTTACAGATGAGGAAACTGAAGCCCAGAGATACTAAGTGACTTACCCAAGGCCACACAGCTAAGAGGAGGAGAGCCAGGATTCATATCTATGCAGTTTGGCACCATAGTCCAAGGTTTTAAACACACTACTAAAGGGATTATATGATAATGTATCTGGATAAATTAAAGCTGGATTCTTCTTCTAAACTTAATGTTTACTCCTAATTTACAAATAAAAATGTATATATTTGTGATGGTCAACATGATGTTTTGAAATATATATGTGCTGTGGAATACCTAAGTGAATTATATGTTTTCACTTATGTTATGGTTTTGATATATGGTGTCCTCCAAAGCTCATATGTGAGACAATGCAAGAATTTTCAGAGGTGAAATGATTAGGTCCACTGTGACATATCAGTGGATTAAGCCACTGAATGAATTAATTTGGTGGTAACTGAAGGCAGAAAGGGTATGGCTGGAAGTAGGTCACTCAGGGGATGACTTTGGGGCTTACATTTTGTCCCTGATATGTGGAGCTCTCTCTTTCTCTGCGTGCTGGTTGCCATGTCCTGAGCTGTTTTCTCCACAAAGTCCTCCTGCCCAGGTCTATGGAGTCAGAGAACCACAGACTGTAGCCCTGAAACTTGGAGTCAAAATAACTTTTCCTTCACTGTATTGTTCTTGTCAGGTCTTTTGGCCACAATGATGTAAAACTGACTTAAACAACATACTTGGCTATTTTTTTTTTCTTTAGTACTAGGGATTAACTCAGAGTCACTTTACCACTAAGCTATGTCTCCAGCCATTCTTTTTTTTTTAATGTTTTTTAGTTGTTGATGAACTTTTATTTTACTAATTTATTTATATGCTATGCTGAGAATCAAACCCAGTGCCTCACACATGCTAGGCAAGGCTCTGCCACTGAGCCACCATGCCAACCCTCACCAGCCATTCTTTATTTTTTATTTTGAAATAAGTCTTACTAATTTGCTGAGGCTGTCATTGAACTTGGTGATCCTCTTGCTTCAGCCTCCTGAGTAGCTGGGATTTACAGGCATGTGCCACCATACCAGGCCTACATAACTTTTTTTTTTTTTTTTTTTTTTGGTAGTGGGAACACTTGAAATCTACTCTCATAGTGATTTTCAAGTGTCAAATACATTGATATTAACAAAAATCAACTTGATGGACAATAGACCGCTTGAACTTATTCTTCCTAGATAACTGAAGTATTGTGTCCCTTGACCAACAACTCCCCAGCCCCCATCTATCTCCTACCCTAGCCCCTGGTGACACAAGACTGGCCTATGCTCTGCCTCTGTGGGCTATTTTAGATCCCACATGTGAGCAAGGTCATATAGTTTTACTTTCTGTACCAGGGTTCCTTCACACACCATAATATCTTCCAGGTGAAACAAATAAAGTTAATGAGTGAAGTGAAACTAGGATTGGGTGACCACGGTGACCTCAAGACACATCCCCAACTGGAAGGGCAGCATGCGCCTCTCCACTGTCTCTCCCTCTGTGGGGCACACCTGGCCATACCCCTTCCTTACTTTACACCTGAACCTGACTGAGCAGCTAAGTGTTGCTGGGGATGAAAACCCACTGGTCTCACTTTAAATCCATGTCCATGGATTCCAGGGGCCTCTTCACACTACTGGGGAACCACTCCATTCTCCTTTCTTACCCTATAAAACAGCTCTCCTTGCCCTCCCCTACACTTCCTCTCTGGCTCACTGCACCCCTTCCTCCAGTAGCCTCACACGTTGTCAAGAAGCCACTCTGTCTGTGCCCCTGGCCTTTAGGACCTTCTGGTCCTCTGGTTTCCTGTTGTGTTTGGTCAATAACAGGAACCTGAAGGTGACTGGAGGGTGGGAGGAGATGAGTTCCCTCCCTGCCAGGTCATGGAATAGTAATTGTAACACACCCTAATGAAGGGTGAAGCTCCCCCTGGGCAGCCATTCCCACACCACAAACTCTCTCCAGCTTCGGAAAGTCCTTCCCCTTGTCCCTGCAGTACTAGGGCTTAAAGTGGTTCCCACTTATAGAAGTTTCTGAGATGCTTTGCCACCTATTGTTGGTTTTTCTTAACCTGCTGCCCACATCTTCATACAATCCCTTCATCAGATTCTCCTCCTGTTTTCTGCGCAAGAGTGTCATCTGTTTCTGGCAGGGACCCTCACTGATATAGCATCCCTGTTTACATCTCCAGACCTCCCCTCTTCCCAGAACTCTACACATTGGATGCACTGACTTTATGATAACTCCATGTGTATGTTTAGTACATTTCTCCTACTGATTGTGTCAGCATGTATTTGTGAAGACCATAAAGCACAGAAATGAGACATATTGTACTCCCTGATGGAATTCTTCATTTATTACCACCCCAGACTCCTCCAGTTCTTCCCATCTAAGTAAGATGGAATTGTCAACCACTCAGTGCTTATGACCCAAATCTAGGCCTTAGTCTAGATCCTTGTTTGATTCCTTACTTCCTCCATCAAATTCATCAATGGATCTTGCAGATCATCTGAATATGGTCCTAATGGTCCTGTGGTCCTAATTTCTCACCTATACTATGCAATGGTCTAAGTCTCTCACCTCCATTACCTCACTCACTGCCATGACATCCCATCCTCTGCAGTGCAGGCAGGATGACGGTATCATAATTTAAAGAAGACCATATCACCTGCAGCTTAAAATCAGCAATGAACCCAACCTCTTGGAAAAAGTATGAGAGAGAAGCCTCTGCCTTTCTCAACTCATCTCAGACCACTCTCCCTGCATCTCCTCCCCCAGCCATACTTCCTGCGTTCTTTGAACACAAGGATGTTCTTACCACCATATCTCTTCTTCCTGCCTCGCCTCTACATGAGGGACTCTCTTCCCTCATTTCTATCTCTGCTCAGATGTCACCCTTCAGAGCAGCCTTCACCTACACCCAACCGAAATCAGCAATGAAATTGTGTTTGCTCATTCACCACAAATTTTAAAAGCCTGTACTTCTCTCCTCCCTGGAACGTGAGCCTCGTGAGAGTGGGGACTCCTCTCCATTGCTCATGACTATCCCCCTGGACCCCCGTGCAGAGCCTCCTAAGCATTATGAGTGAATGAGCTTGATGAGTGAATGAATGAATATGAGGCCTCCCGTGATTGCCAATTTTTCAGGAGAAACCAGTAAATTTTCACATAAGGAATTTTCACATAAAAGCAGACGAGTTTTTTTCACCTTGGCAACTGATTTATGTTTTAAAATTGTGACTCAAACAAAAATCATATCTGCAAGCCAAATGGGGTCAGTGAGCCATGAGACCATGTTCCAAGGTTATTTAAAAGGAAAAATATTTAGGGACAAGGAGTAAAGGACAAGTTTCCCAAATACCCATCCCAAAGTGACCTTTGGAAGACTGGAACTGGATGACTTCATTCCTCTTTTCTGAAGCACTGCATTTCAAAGTTCCTGGGCTCTAGAATTCATTAACTTCTTTTGTTTCTCTTCTGCAGCCGAGGGTGCAAACTCAATATTAGATCGTCATAATCTATTTTTCCATTTTTACAAAACTTGTTTAGTTTCATTCAAATCTCCAATGTCCTTTCTGTGGTTTTCTGCAGTCTTCATCTCTTTGAAATCCCCTAACTGACAGCATTTGCTCTGACACATCACACACCACGGAAAATTACAGGCTGGTTGTAGCTGATTGTGTCAGCATGTATTTGTGAAGACCATAAAGCACAGAAATGAGACATATTGCACTCCCTAATATAGGAGGTAATTTGTTTTTTGGACTGCCTGGTATTTGTGACATTCATTAGTGAGAGATGCAATAGGAAATAGAATTACACAAATGGGAGCTTCTTGTTCTATATGCTATCTGGGAAGTGCACATGATGTACTGCACGGCTGTGCTCCCCAGCCTCCTGTGTGTAGTGCTGAGATGTGCTTCGGGCTTTTGTGTCTCACATCTGGATGAGAACACAGCCTTCCCCTCCGGAGGGCCTGGGGCTGGGGTCAACCCCATGCACCCCCTGTCCCTGTCTCTTGTGAACTTTGTTTTCAGGATACTTCTGAAGAACAGTTAGGTTCTATGAACGGGTAGGGAGGTACTTCTCTCTCACAATAAATAATAGTAATCTTTTCCCAATTTATAGAAGAAAATTTGAGTTAGGGAAAAGCTCAGTTAAAAAGAAAAACATGCTCCCACACCCTGTATGTTCTTTTTCCTAATTTTTTTTCTAACTAGGATGGGTCATTTGCTAGAGTGGGTGGAAAGAAAGAAAATCATAAGCATCAGTTGTCAAGGTTCATTGTTCTGTGCTTAGCACGTCAGCGCCTCTCTCTCTCTCTCTCTCTCTCTCTCTCTCTCTCTCTCCTTGCCACATAATTAAGAGTACAGGCCCTGGAACTGGACATTCTAGATTTAAATCCTGGCTTTATTACTCACTAACTGTATGACTCTGGGCAAGTTGACTAGCCAATCTGTGCCTCAGTTTCCTCACATACAAAATGGGGAATAATCTACCTATTTCAGAAGATTGTGTGAGGAGTGAGTAAGATCATAACACCAAGAAGGTAGTTAGTACCCAGAACAGAGCTGGTACTCAGCAAGCCCTCTATAATGACATGTTAGCATTACCAGATTGGCAGAAAGAGACTGGGTTTTAGAAAAGGAAAACCTAGTTCCCACCAGGACTATGCCATTTGTTGTGTGCTCCGTGGCCTTGGACAAATCATTTATATTAATTTTATTTGGGGTGGGGAGTTACTGGGGATTGAACTTGGGAGCACTTGACCACTGAGCCACATCCCCAGCCCTATTTTGTATTTTATTTAGAGACAGGGCCTCACTGAATTGCTCAGAGCCTTGCTAAAGTTGCTGAGGCTGGCTTTGAACTTGTGATCTTCCTGCCTCAGCCTCCTGAGCCACTGGGATTGCAGGCATGAACCACCATGCGTGGCTCATTTATATTAATTTTATACATGAGGAAGCCAAAGCCCTTAGTGTTTATCAAGACTTACTTTCTAGGGTTATTTGGAAGAGAAACCATAGAGAAGGTAACACATCTAGGACAGGGCTAGCTTTGAGTAGAAACTTGTTAAATGAAGTCAAGTACACTTTCATAAATAATTAAAGACTTAAAATACTTAATGTTAACATTGATGTTGAGGTGAGTGACCTTCCTGGGCATTGGCATCACATATTCCTGCTAATAATTTTTTCCAAGTTGATAGAATAGAATCTATAGCCCTTCGATTCCCTAAGCTCCTTAAACAGCTGTAAGGGCACAAATATGCCATGAAACACAGAAGCCTATAAAATCCTGGGCTCTGCCTATAGAGACGACACAATTGCAGCTGAGACTCTAGCTATTTTCCTAGGAGGTTGTAAAAAGAAATAGAGCTATTTTGATGTATTATCTGAAATTAATCCAAATTCTTTGAAATTTTATTTGGCACTTATAGAAAACTCTGATAACTCTCAAGAAAGTTTGCTCAGATAATATTAAGAACACTAGACAAGGAACCAGCTCTCCTGTTGAGTCCCTCTGGGTCAGCGAGAATCAGGATGACTTGGAGCTGTCACTTCTGCTCTCTGGGCTTCAGTATCTTCGCTTGTAAGATGAAGCAGCAGGTCACTAAGCTTTCTAGTTCTAAAAATTTATTATTTTAATTCAAAGGTCTGGAATTGACTACATGAAAAGGAATCTACAGGGGGCATAATTGAAAGCACATATCTGTTTCTTAAACTTCTGCACCATTTGATGCCCATAAATTCGTTAAGTAGTTTCGGGGTCAGAGTCCTATCCATATGGAAGCATGCCCATCAGCAGACCAAGATGTTTATGGCTGAGCCAGAAAGAAAGGTGGATGGAAATAAAACTCTTACCTTTTAACTTCTTTGGCATCACTTGCGATGAAAAATCCTAAAGTACCTTCTTGGATCTTAAGGTGGTTTCCAGGATTAATTAATATACTGCTCAGTGAAAAAAAAAAAAAAAAGAAGAAGACATATATGTGAGGTCACATTCTGAGTAAAACTTTGAAGGCAACACCATACTGTTGTTTTTATAGGGGCCCCACTAGTCTAATGCTTTCTCCAAAGGTTTATCTCTAGAGCTTGATGTTCACTGGTCCACACATTTAATTGGAGAACGTCATCATTAAACTCTACTGGTTAAATATTGGGTTGGCATACTCCAAGTCGAGGAAATCAAAGCAAGTCTTTGCTTTAGGGCTAGGTTTGCACGATGAGGCAATCTAGCTGCCACCATGGGCCTTGGACGTGAAGCAAAGTTCCTCACAATACATCCCTTTTGAAACTCTATTGATGTTCAGCATTGAAACATCAGTGTTCTAATGAAGTTCTTGCCACATTAATTTTCCATTAGATGATAGAGCATTAATGGGACCCCTATATGTATATAGAAACATACACACAAACATACCACATATTACTTTGAGGAATGGTACAAGCTACCCATAATCAATACAGAAGCAAACTGAATGTCTTCATATCATTGATGAGGACATGGAAGTAGACTCCATGTAAATCCTAGGTAGGAAGAATTTGTTCTAGACAGACAATGTAAAAGAAAAATGCTGCAGTTGGATATAGGTAATGATTCCAGTCTCCTATTTATAAAAATGTAAGGGGTATTTGAATAAGATGTATGGTTAGCATATCATTAGGGGCAAACTGTAGTTAGAAAACAAATGAAAATTACCCCTAAAGGGAAGTAGGAAGCTAAATATTCACTGTCCTATTTCAAATTGGTATAAATAGACTAGCTGACCAAGTTGTGTTTGGACTGACAGGAGAGATAAACGTATCCTAATCTAATAAATGGGCAAAACAAACAAGTTTAATATTCTGCAGATCAAAAGTAGAATACGAGAATGTTTTACCAGAGACTGAGAGGAGGCTTTGGGCTTAATAGGTACTGAATTGGTGATTCTAATTGAAGCAATAGACAACAAAAGTATTCTTTGATCTGAAAAGCTGGTGATTAAGGTAAAAGATATTTGGAATCGGTCTAAAGGAAGTGCTCACATGCCCAAAACAACCAAGATGGAGGAATGTAATTAACATGTAATCTTTTTCTGCTGGTAAAACCATTCCAGAAAAGTGTCATGGCCAAGAGCCATCTGTCTGCAGCAGTACAGGAAGGGCCTGGGTGAACTTTTGTTCTGTTGGGAGTGTTATGAGCAAATCATTACTGCACAAATAATTGTGGTTAGAACATCCACCATTACCTATAACAAGACCTGACAGGAGGAAATCAGGCCTGTGTCATCACTGTTATTAACACTAAATAGCAGCAAGATTCTATGAAGATTTGACTGTTCTACCCCAGAATCACAGACAGCAATGAGATGCCTTCCAAATCAGAAAGCAGTAGTCCACACTAATAGAACAGCTTATAACAGGCAACAGCCTTACGCAGGCACCTCCTAATTACCCCTCTGCCAACTCACACACTGGTATCACAGGCCTCTGATATAGCATGATTATGAGGGGAAAGGGTCAGAGCTTATACAGTTTAGGTGGATTTCTTATCCAAAGTCAATTAAATACATGTTAGAAAGGTGGAAATATGAATTCTGCTCATTTTCTTAACTCCTTTTCTTGCAAGGCAGCACTTCCATTTGACTTTGCAGTCAGAAACTGGGTCCAAATCTGAGCTCTGTCACTGAGTTGCGCTGCCTGAGTTTGGGCAAGTTACTAAACCCTAGTACTCAACTTTTACCCCTACAAGAGGAGGTTCATGATAACAACAGTCTTCCTTCAGAAAATGGAGTGAGGTAATATATAAAGAACTCAATGCATGATGGGTATTGTTACTTTTTATTTTACTTTTAGTATTTTATTCTTGTAAAAAACAAAAAACACCCAAGTATATTTCATTGTCAATAGTTATCAGAGTTTCTTTAAATGGCCCCATGGGATAAAATACAGGGCGTCTTATCAAAATACCCTGTCCATAATGAGACAAAGTTACAGGGTTGTACAATGCAGGTTGATGCACCAGGCACCCATTAAAAACCCCATGCACTTCTGGTGCCTAAAAAAGCTAGTTCCTTAAAGATTGAAAAGTCTATATTTCTAACATAAGAATGGAAGAAAAGCTTCTGAGTAGGGGAAAAAAAATCCTCACATGATTTGAGCAATGGAATTGAAAATGTGACATACATCATCTTGGTGACACATGTGCACAAAACAAGCCTCCCGTAGACCCCTGCTTCCTTGCCTAACATTGTGGGCCTCATTAATTGCACTCCAGTGAGCGAACCCACCATGTCATTGTGAAATATGATGATAGCAAGGTTCCTATCAATGAGAAGTTTCTTTTCATTTCCTTTCTTCTTTATCTACAGTGAACAAGAATTGGCCCTTAGTAAAAATTTGGGATTGGCATTCTAGAGAGTACCGATTAAGATCATTCATTACAGATTTCAAGCTTCTATTGGTCATGTTATTGTGCCAGAAAGGAAAGATTTTTGGCACTGACATAGGGTACACTGTCATTCACCCATTAATTGTAATTGTTTTTGTTGGTACATATTAATTATATAAAAGAGAGGGTTTCATTGTAGCATATCATACATGCACCTTACATAACTTTCCAATGGTGGGTCAGCACTCAGGTGCACAAGTCAGGCTCCATCCATTTGGATCCCTGGCTTTGGGCATGTGGACACAGCTAAGCCTCATTTTCCTTGTCAGTAAAATGGGGATAAATAATCATTAGTTTACAGTGTCTTTAAATTAAAGTATGTACTATTCTCTGAGAGATATAGTAGGTCTTTATGCTTTCCATTAATTATGAGCAAGGTGGTTGGAAAATGAGAGTAAATAAACTCTCATAGGACCACAACTCTAACCTCCACTTTGTCCTTGATACTAAAAACCCACCCCAAAATTGACCCTTTTCCTGACTGCAGCACCTGAAATACTTTCTCTCTGCACAAATCTGGATATGAGCTCATTCAGAATGGCTTTTAGCAACACATGAATAGTGCCTGTCCCTTAAATCTTATGGCTAATGCACATGGAACAGAGAGCATTTCCAGGGGCCTCACGGACTGTGCAATCCCAATATCCCTTCCTGTAGGTGGGGTGGGAGAATTTAGAGAGTCCTTATGGGAGGTGTGAAGCAGCACCATTTGCAGATACCAAGGCAGAGCTAAGATAGCCTATTGGGTGGGACTTGAAAGAATAACCCCAGCCCTCAAGAAAATGAAAGAAAAAAAACTGAGATGCATAAAGATAGTCCCTGTGCTGGATTCAACTTTTATATTTCAGGGTCTGGGGAAGAAGCACATGCCCTTGTTTCCAGGGGCCCACAACATTTCCCTATGCAATAGGACTGAATTCAAAAGACTCTTTCAGGAAATACCTTACTGTTTTTGATAGATCAGATTTTAAATCTTCTATCCACATTCCAAATCTAGAAAGTTTAAATAAAGTGTTAATCCTCCTCGTCTGGAAAATATAAAAACATAAGGATTTTAGACAAGTAAATGTTCTTACTTTCTCCAGGAAAATGCTTACTACCCCTAGAATTTTTTATTGACCTCCTAATGGGAATATGTAAAATTTTCCAAAAATCTCTTTAGGAGACTATTCAATGTTAACTCATTTTGTTCTTATGACTGCCAAAAGTCCCTTTTCCTATGTGCCACTTTAAATCAGTTCTCTGGCTCCAACTTTATCTAATTCACTAGCTTATCAGAGATAAACTTCAAGATGTGTCATGTGAAATATCCAGAAAAATCTCTAAGAAAAGAAGACCATATATCCATTAGCAGAATTCCAACAAGGACATCTTGGCAGGGGTAGACATTCCCTCATTTCAAGGAACATATAAATTACCCTCTTTTCTATTAACTTGTTGGTTTCAATTGAAAGCACCCTATGACAGCTGGTAGCACAGGGCTGGTGTAGCCCCTTTCTTTTTTGCTCTCAATTTAGTTCCATATCTAGCCTTATTCTTTGTCCACCCATCAGTATGTAGAATAAATTCATATTTTCTGTAAGGAACCCATCATTGAGTAGAGGGGTGCAAAACATAATCATGTTCTATTTACTTCCAAATTTCTCTCAGTAGAATGCAACAGGACTTCTCAACTCTTGTTGAATGAATGAAACTTTTAAATCATTGGTCTCAGTTCTGAGTTTTCCTTTCCTTCTCAAATAAGATGAAAGGTAGTTCCCTCTGTTCTTTCCAAAACATTAGGCTGACCCCTGGAATGACCACATCTTCTGGCAGATTGGTTACCAAGCTCATAATCTCTGGGCATTAAGTATAAATATGAAAATATGCAAAGACACAGTGAGTCACTTGGGGAGTTGGAGCAGTTGATTTCAATATTGAAAGTAGAACTCACTCCGAATGAAATTTATGTTCCTAAACATAAGACTCATCTTTGTGGAATGGGGCAGTAGGGATCAGTCCAACATAGAATCACCTGTATTGGGAGTCTTTGAAAGGTATTCACCTGCACTTCTTTTATTGGGCATTTTATTAGGCATTTCTTGGTGGACACTGCTCAGGTTGGAGGACTAGGGCTTGGTGGGGGAGCAATGATTTTTTTTCCCTTTTGTCCAACATTTACAAATAACAATGGAAATACTTAGTGATCCATGATCTCTTCTTCAATTGTTATAAACATAACCTATTTCCTGTTTGGGGATATGACCAATGATTGGCAATTCAAGTGAAACAGATCTTGTTTTAAAGAAAACTTTTTATCTACTATGGACAAATATGATAGGTGTGTATTTCCCTCCTTCCCCTCCATTTCTGGTAGGTGTCATGTACCATTCCCCAAGCAATTAAGAAAATTAAGAAAATATCATGGTTCATATGAGAATACAGTTTATACTCAATAATATGGTAATTATAATTGTGTCCAGCAAACTAATGGGACTTCATTAACTGTAGCAAGCAAATAAGATCCAACTCGGACTTCAGCTCATGCTATGCCCAGATATCTCACACCACTGGGATGGGCCTGTCTGAACACACACATTCATATAAAATTGCTCTCAGTTGGGATTTGTTTGCACCAAAAGTACCCCCTCTAAGAGCTCAACTGCACTGCAATTTGTGGGCTGTGTTAGGGCACAGCTCAGAGAAACCCCAAGTCTCAAACCATATCACCTTTTTGGAACTTTTCATCTCTTCTGGGCTTTCAATATGTGCTGCTGGAGTCCCACACAACTACACACACACACACACACACACACTTTACTTGAGGATATGTGTAGGAAGCACAGTTGTGTATCCCAGGCTTTAATATATTAAGCCCAGTTCACTTCCATAGAGACAACGTAATACAGGTTGCTCCCAGTTGATCAGACTCAAAGGACCAAAACCTTGGTCCCTGGGGGATATTGGCAAGGATTTGTTTAGCCCAAATCCACCTCAATAATTTTAGAAATAGAATATTAAAATATATTTTTCACATGTGAAAATATTAGCCACATGGGGATGGAGAGGAGAGAGCTGATCTGAGAAGGACAATGCAAGCTATTTGGTTCTGGGAGCAAGCCATGTCACTTTAGGACAAGTCATGCCTACATCACATCATGCCTTCACCACAAGATAATAAGACTCAAAGGCCAAAAGCCAACAGCAGAGGTGCAACCACTGTGGACCTTTGAAGATGCAAAGTGTTGCAGTAACTTCTTGCAGTTGGATCATATCAATAATACCAAACTGACAGGAAGCCACCTCTATTATACATCTGCTCCAAAATCACAGGAGAGCTGACTGTGGAAAGAGTTACACACACACACACAAACACACACACAAACACACACACACGAGTACAAACACAAACACATGACAGTGATCACAACCACGGAGAAAAACAACTCTTGGAAAGATGAACAAGTAGGCCTTGCAATGATCTGTTTTCAACAATACTCTCTTAGAGAACACATTACTGAAAAACTATGCTGAAAATTTTAACCAAAAAGTAAAAAAAAAAAAAAATGCCATTGATGATGATTTAGTCATGCTTCATGCAACATAAAACAGCAGCAAAACAGGATGAAGTCACACAGTGGAAGAAGTTGAGCTACTTCTTATTAAGAAATATTGAGCTTGTCCCAGTAAACAGCACTCCTTCAGTAAATCAAGTGTGATACTTGCAATTTAATAGCAGCGTTCTTCATCTTTACTGAGCACTGCCCAACAAATAAATTCTTAAAATGAGATCACCAAAATAAGGATTGGGAAAAAATAAAAGCATAAGGGTTTGGTGTCTGTTTTGTGGTGAAAGGACGGAAACTGTGCTCTACAAAATGGAAACAACACAGGAAGGAGGAGGTCACAGGGAACGTGGATGTGGGATGTGGACAAAATGGCACCCGCATCTGGTGGACACCAAGACACATTAGGACAATACAAAAACAGACACAAAGGGCTGGAGAGAAGCATCCTCCTTTTCAACTTTACTAATATTTGTTCCCATCATTGGTGCCCTGACTGAAAATAGGATTATGCCTTTTCTTGTTTTAAGTTTCCTGCAAAGAAGTTAGTGCGTCATCCAAAAGAATCAACAAACCAAACAAGGACAGCAACAGGCTACAGTCAGTTTTCATGTACTCTAGTTGGAGAGGGATATATATATATATATATATATATATATATATATATATATATATATATTTAACATATATATACACTAGACAAGGGAATGAGATTATATATATGTACATCTATATATATAATCTCTCTCTTCTTGAATTCTTGGCAAATGGTTAGTCCTGTGGTTAGGAGTGAAGACAGAGGGTGGAGGTTGGAAGGAAAGTTAACGAAGAGTGCATACCGCTTTCGGCTTCTGCAAAAACGACAAGAAAAGAATTTAAAATCAAACAATTTGATAATAAATTGACTGACACCAGAAGGAAAGAAGGAATAAAACCTTTGTTTCAAATCACTTGAAGGATGCATGTGAAAACAAGGTTTTTCAGCAAAGCATGAAAACAGTATCATGGGGTGAAACCAATAACAAAGGAGGCTGTTAAACACAGGTTGAAGGCCAGAGGGTGGGGGGAGAGGCAGGCTTCTCCGCACCTGAACACCTGGTTAGTTACAAAATATGAGAGGGAAAGAAATGGGGGACTTTTTACATAAAGAAAAAAATAAAATTGTTTTCTCAGGGAGCATCCAAAAATGCTTATTTTAAACATGGTCATTCTGTTGGATGAGTCCTGGGTTATCTCAGGGGCATGATCCACATTCCCTCAGACACACCTTTTCCCACAAGAACCAAAGTTCTTCCACACTGAGACCAAGCCACATTTGAGGATCAGAGCTGGCAACCATACACAGAAAGCCAAAACAAAGCCAAACAAGTTCTTTTCACCTATTTTTTTTAAAATCTGAAAACATATATATATATGTATATATAAATATGGCTTTGTTGAAAACATCTCAGATTTATGAATCAATTAGAGGGCCCATCAAAGAAGAGATTTTGTTCTCAGGGAGATCACTGAGTTCATTTTGTTAGAATGGTAACAGCGAATTCACACTGAACCATTAATTGCCTATCCCTCTCTTTCCTTGTGACCAGGTAGGAGATTGGTCAAGGTTTATCAAGCAGTCTCCTGCCATGAAGTTATTCTAGAATGGTAGGAAAAACATGATTTGCATCATCATGACACCTTTTTTTTTTTTTTTTTTTTGGTTGGGGGGTGGAGAAGAGAAATGCACAAAAGTGATAAAGAGAGAACACAGAGTTACACAAAGATTTACTGATTTGGCAATGTGAAGAATATAATTTGCAAAAACCCAGGATACACAAGCCCCGCCCCCCCCAACAGGTACAGGTGAGGACTGGCAAAACCATGGGCAAACAGTCACCCTGGAAAATTCCACTTTATCTGTTGAACAGTGAATAGCCAGGACCCTCTTAGCTTTTTCCCATTATTTTTCACTTTGCCAACATGGAAAAGGAAAATGTATACATATATATACATATCTGTTAATTGTTAGAGCCGTGTTCTACATGTGGCCACCAAATCTACCACTTCATCTTCCTCTGGCAGATTTGGATTTTCAAAGTAGTTCAGCATTTGATCAGATTGACTTTGCATGCAATCTGATCTGGTAATTAAGGTAAGAGAAAACATTGGATTGGACTTGATTACAATCCAGTGTTTTGAGGGTTCTTTATTATTTATTTATTTATTTGGGGTCATAGACACAGACTGTACATTTGGAAGTCTGGCTTTATTGGGCATTCTTCCAGATAATGAAAACTCCTTAAATGATGATAGAGGAACCTTCTAGTCTTGCCCTGCATCTGCTCAGTTTTGAAGGCATGTGCCAGCAGGTGTCTGCATTCTACCCTTGTGCTTCTATCTGCAGGAACAAATGATTTACCATAGGAGGAACAGACTCTGGATATGTCATTTCAGAGAACAAAAGCCAGAGCCTCTCTCAACCAGCTCTCTTTCTTCCAGAACTATTGATAAGAAGTGGGGAGCAAAAATCATCTCTTTATATTTGATCTGCAATGCATTCAATACCCTATCAAAAAAATTCCATGTTAACATGATGACACCCTCTTCCAGCCGCGATCCCATGTATTGACTGGTGCGTTATCTATTTCAACCAGACCCTGTCCCTCATCAGTCTGATTTGTACATAATTAAGTGCAAAATAAATAAATAAAGAGAGCTCCTGCCCCCGAGCTCTGCTCTTCTGGCTAATTTACATGAAGCTGATATTCTGCCACCTGGATTTCAGCTGCAATGGGAGAAGCACATATGGTACACAATAGGCTGCTTGTAATTTGGCTATCAAGAGGGCTGGTGTCTCCCATCATGGCTCTACCCCAGGCCTGCTGTAAAGGAGGTCTGAGTCCACCTGCTTCTTTCTCACAGAGGTAAACAAGGGTTTCAAGAAATGGTCTTGTTCCTTGTTTTATGCTTAGAGGGCAAAATGCCCATATTGGCATGATCAGGTGAAGATACTTAAATGGCTCATCCCTCTCATCTGGGGAAATCCTCTCTGGATACCCAGTTGAACTTGGGATGTTAGGTTGGTCTGAGATAGGAGCTGCAGTGTCCAGTTGAGCATGCTTTAAGTGTACCCCTAGGGTCAGAGAGGTGTTGCATCAGTTTCAAAGCAAATAAACAACGCATAAGAAAGAGGGAGTGGACTAAAAGTTCTCAGAATGAACACTCACACATTTGGATGTCAACGGGTTGCTGGGAGGTAGCCAACTTACCGGCTCTCTCGGTTGGCGGACTTGTACTCAATGGCTATCATTAGGAGCTTGAGCTTCACAAAACACAGCCTGCAACGAGACAGAGAATGCAGTCAGTGCTCCTGGATGAGCTGAGACACACAAGGAACACTGTTACGACCTTTCAGTCTACAGATACAGTCTTTATACAAGGGGATCCTCACTCCTCTGTGCCAGTGCCAGAGAGAGGGTGGAAGCTACAGGCCCCCCTCTTCCCCATTAAACCTGATTTCTTGCTTATGATAAGGTGCTGGATGTTCAAAGTGCAAATTGCACTCAGGTCTGGATGTCTAGACAGACCCCAAGCAGGGATTCCTGCCTGGGGATTTACACAGGGCCAGATTCATTAGTTACTCAGTCGGGTAGTAAAATGTTAACTACAGCGGGAGGGAGAGATTTGGAGCAGCTGGACCTGTTTGGATTCCATTTCGGTCTTTGGTACAAATGGTTTATATTGTTGTTCCGAGCAGACCCCTGTGTGCCTGGAATGATGGTAATAATACTTTGCTTCCGTGTAAGTGCCCAGCACATGACTACGGCTTTATCACTACTGGCTCCATCCAAGCTGTCTCACCTCATCTGCCCGGTGTTTTGTGGCTGGCTCCTTCCAGGCTCGCTGCCTTCACTGCTGCCTCCTCCCACCGCCCAAATGCCTTCTCTTCTGCTCCTGCCCCTCCTCCCAGGCCACACCACATCTAATCTTCCAAGCCATAGGTGTCCTCCAGGTAACACTACCCCTGATTTTATTCTCAGGACTCTTCCATCACCTCATCTGTAACCACAGCATTTGGCCTAGAGTCTATTTTATACCAGTGCTGGTTGCTTATTGTTTCATGTGTCTCAATTTCCCTCATCCACCAGAGCAACTTCTTGAAAAGTTTTTGACTTGTTGAGAATTCTCCATAGTGCACAGAGAATGTACCCACTGCTATGAAGAACTCATTAAAAAAAATGATTTCCACTTACTAAGTTTTAATTCTAAGAAAATAATAAGAGGTGCCATAAAATATTTATACATAAAGATGTTCAGGTCAGTGTTATTTATGTAGTGTAGAAAAATCCAAAGCAACTTAAGTGTCCAATAATAAGGCAATGTTTACATGGTGCAAGGTTGGTATTAGGCAGCATTCAAAATGACTTTTTGCAGACTATTTCAAAATATAAAATCAACAAATACTATTATAAAACAAGATGCAAACTTGTAAATAATATGCTAGAATCACATGCAAAATATATTTACATACTCAGAAATAAAAACTCACAAACAAAAAAAAATGAATTGCATATATATTACAAGTTTTTGCAATGAGCGTTATCACTTTATGTCTTTAAGGACTTTTTGGATAATGAAACCTTGGTTGACTGATAGATTAAAAAAAATAGTTGACAGTTATTTAGTTCCAGAATTATATGGGGGATAAGGTGCTGGGTCAAGGGGCAGGGCCTTCCTTAACTTGATTCCTCACAATATCCCTGAGAGAGAATTTTTACCCCACTTTTTCAGACTCCTATTGGTATCTATTTTACAGGTGGTTAAACTAAGGTTCAGAAAACCCATGCAACTTGCCCAGTGCCTATGCATTATGTGTCTAGCTAATACCCATCAGGATATACATTTTCATCCCCAATGAAGCTGATTTTGCATTGGCAGAGATGTGCAATAAGCAACTATACAAGTGAACAAATAATAAGCTTTCAGAAAAAGACATGCTATGCAGAAAACAACCTAAGGGAATGAAGAGTGAATGGCAAAGGGTGTGTCACCTGTGACAGACCAGGAGGACCATTCTGAGCATATACAGAACAATGGAGCCTGGGGAGCAGGCAATGGAATGATAAGGGGAAAAAAAATTTTCTGTGGAATAGAAATGGCACGTGCAAAGGCCTTGAGGCAGAAAAGAACTATGGGTGTTTGAGAAACAGCAATAAAGCCAGAGAGGATGAAACTGAGCAATATCAAGAGTGATAGCGAATAGGCCATAGGGCAAGGTAGGAGCAAGGTCACAAGAACTTTGCCACAGCAAGGAGTCTGCAGCTTATTCCAAGGAATGGGTGTCCTTTAGTTGGTTTTAAATAGAGAAGTGACACAGTCAGCCTGAACAGTTCTGGAAAAGGCCCTGAGTTCTCCAGGAGGAATGAGACCAATTGCTCATTCCTATATGCGAGGTCCTGGTCTCACAGACTTGCCTTCAAGAGATAGATTTCAGAGACCCACTTCCATTCAGGTGTATGTGGGCTCTCTGGTGATTTGCAGGTCTTCTGATTCCTGCCAGCAGACTCTAATGACCTGGGCTTTGTGCTGATTATGCAGCTTGCTGAAACACCAGCACACATGTCCAAGTGCAGCAAGGAAAATGCCCTTCTTAATTTATGTCCCATAGAGCTCCACTTACATGCACCCTTTATGGGGTTGCTACTTTTAGAGCTTAAATTAGTTTTAAAAATCAGGTACTTTATGCAATGTTTATCAGACCAAATTGCCAGATTAAGAAACCACTATCTAATGTAAATAGTCATTAAATACCAAAAAGAAAAAAAATTCAAGGAGAAAGCTGGTCTTCACTTAGCATGGATTATGCAAAGGTTAATTTGTTGTTATCCTATAAGCCACGACCATTCCAATTTCGGCCTCTGGTAGTTCATGGGATCAAAGATCTTAATCGCTTAGCTTTTGTGAAACTAAGCCTACTAGTGAGAAGAAAAGAATTGCTCACAGTAATGGTGAATTATTTATTCCAAGCTACTATAATGCCATTTAGTAACTGGATATAAAAGGAAAGGAGATTCCTAATGCTAGAAAGTCAACACAATCTATGCAACTTCATGCACGTTTGTTAACCTTATAAAGGATGGACAGCAGATCTCTAAGCCCTCTTTCAATTTCAAATCCAAAATCTAACATTCTTTCTCTCTCTCTCTCTCTCTCTCTCTCTCTCTCTCTCTCTCTCTCTCTCTTTTTCAGTACCAGGGATTGAATTATTGAGCCACATTCTAAGCTCTTTTTTAATTTTTTTATTTTGAGACAGGGTCTTGCTAAGTACTCATGGCCTTGCCATGTTTCTGAGGCTGGCCTCAAACTTGCAATCCTCCTGCCTCAGCCTGTTGAGTTGCTGGGATCACTGTCATGCCCGACAAAACTTCCCCACTTTCTAAGATAACTCTACACTCCCTGATAGAAACCTCCTTTTAAGAAGCCCTTTAGCCCAAAACAAGCTGTTGCTCACTGGCCAAAGGAGAAATGAGAGAGGAGAGGCACCGAGTGGTATAAACCAAGGGAATATATGCCAACAGTGTCACACCACCCTTTCAAAGTGGCTGATCCTGACCTTCTTATGTGGAAAATAAGCTGAAGTCCAAAGCGGACAAAGCAAGTAGCAACTGGCTGAAGGTCAAATGGCTTTTACACTAAAAAGACAAAAGTGAGTCTGGGAATATAACTTAGCAGTAGAATACCTGGCTAGCATGCATGAGGTCCTGGATTCCTCAAGAATGTTTAGGAAGCCAAAAGTGGAAATCAAGTCTCAATACAGTGTGCTACACAGATGCTTCTTTTAGGAATGGAGAAGGGAAAGCGGTGGTCATAGCCCAACGTGCAGACACATTGCTTAGTTGTTAACATTGTTTTTTAAAAGCTGGAAACAGATACCAATAGGTGATTTCACATTAAAGGAAGAATGGCTTTTCTGCTTTCCTTGCAAAATCAGGTAAAGGCACACTGAAATCACCATCCATATGGCTAAAAAGGACTGGTAGTATGAAGAACTCTTTCACCCCTCTCCCCAGGGGGCGTGTTCTCCACTGAGCCACAGTCCCCACTGCTCCCTATTGTCTCACACCCCCTCACTCTTCATGTTTTTTTGCTAACTTTCTGCCCCCTATGGGTATCTAAGTTTTTAACTCCTGCTCTAATGGGTATTGTCAGGAACTTGGAAAAATACATTGAATAATAAACCATGATTCAGATTGAAAGCAGAACTATGGATCCACCATGAGTATTCAAACTACAGTTTTTGGTCACAGGGAGGTGGCCAGTGTCAAGGTCCTGGGTTTAAGGATATAGCCAAGATCCAGGCTCTGGTGGGGGTGTCCAGTGGGGAAGAGGGGATGGAGGCAAGGAAAAAGGGGAGCGGATAAGGTTGATCTCTTGCTTATCTCTCTCTCTCCACTCTAGGTTGAACATCACTAGTACAGGATGCACGCTCTGCTTCCTAGCATCTTGAGATGTGCAAAGAACAAACTTCCAATAAATGAATGGGCTACAGAATCTCATGAGTTACTGAAGTGATGGACAAGGGACAGAGTAGAAAACTAGGAAAGTGTAGGTAGAATAAAGGAGAGGAGTACTGGGTCCTGAAACAAGTTGCTTCTTAGCTTGTCTTGTTTGGTCCAAGCAGGCAGAATGGAAAAGGATGTTGAAGAAAATAATAGCAGTGATAGGTTCTGGGAATCTAATCTTGACCTTGGATCTGTTGTGCCAAGATGCAAGTCTGAGTCTAAGATCCACATAGCGATTTATCCTTGGGATCGTCTTACAAGGGGTACCTAGCTAAGAATATGCCTTCAGACCACCCCAAATGAAGCCCTGTGGTTATATATTTACTTGCATCATTCAACACCATTTGGGCGGTGATGTAGAGGAGAACAGGCATTAGCCATCCAGTCCTCACAGCCATTCTCTGATTTTACCCACACTATTTGTGTTTCAAAGTACAGAGGACCAGTTTGGGATCAGGAAGCAGGATTAAAAAGAGGTAAGACGTAAGAAAAAAAAAAAAAAAACAGGAAGCCTTCACAGCATGATAAATAGGATAAGATCGGCCATAAGTTAGCAAGAATTTAATTCTTGGTTTCTAAAATAAAATGTCCGATATGTCCAAAGCAGGAAGTTGTCACTGGCTGCAAAAAATAATTACAGGGGAATAGAAATGACTTATTTTTTTCAAGAAAAAATGCCACTTGTCACAAAAAGGTCTTAAACCAGCAATCTGCAATAAAACTGTTGTAATAACAAGTTAGATTGCTTTCCTGATAATTATTAAGTAGAGGTCTAC